CGCCAGTTTGATCCCCTGAGCAGACAGTATGTGACTGAAGTGCCCTTGAGCAAGGCACCTCACCCCAAACTGCTCCCTGGGCGCCGTGGATAGGGCTGCGCACCGCTTCGAGCAAGTGTGCTCACTGCCTCTGAATGTGTGTGTTCACTAGTGTGTATGTGGTGTTTCACTGCATGGATGGGTCAAAATGCGGAGGTGAAATTTCCTCATTGTGGGACTAATAAGGGTCACTTAACTCTTATATCCAAATATAGTTGAGCCAAGATATGGCTGAAGTTTGCTTCTTTGGTTTTGTACTGGGGTCATGAGGTTAATGTAGCTGACAGTAATAATGGAAGCTTACACCCCACCAATTAGCATCACACAAAATGCATGCCTAAGGCCCAGTCCCATTTCTTACTTTTACCCCTACCCCTTGTTTTCGAGTGTCACCTTGCCCCTTGGAACTGAGTTACAAGGGGTAGTGGTTGAAATCTTCCGCTATGAAATGGGATCCTCAAATAAAGAAGAGCATTACTTCATTAACAGCTACCAGCGCTACTCTGTAGGCGACCCTGCCAGTCTGCAGTGACAGCAGAGGAGGGTAAAGTTCAGCTCCTCACTGCTGGGCTTTAGTTACATTTAGGGCATCATATGCTTGAAAAGAGGGGGGATGCAACTATTATTTATTACCGCCCACCCCTAACTCTTCAGTGATGTGAAGCTGAAGTCAGCTATTTTCCTGTTCCACCTTAAATGGAGCAGCAGTTACATTCTGGCGCTTCAGACAAAAGTACTGCTGGACTATTTAAGGTGGAACAGGAAATTTAGCTAGCTAGCTACCAAAACGTTGGCATATTAACAATTTTTTTTTAGCTATTTGTTACCATAATACATTGAAACGACATGAAACTAAGATAATACAATGGTTATTGTAATTTTTAACAAAGAAAATACTCACGTGTGTGGTTTTTTTATTTATTTTTTTTTTTCTCTTTTTTTTTCCTCGTAACACTGTTTGGAGTGTGCCTCTGAAAAACCTCCATCTATGCCCTACTCCTCTATTTCAACAACAATCAGGACGCCCCACCGCTAGACATGAACACACACAACGGAGGGCTAAGGGCTAAGTGGTAGGGGCGAGGTGTGAATTGGGCCTAATCATCACATAGTTGCCTCAAACCACATCATCTTCAGGAAGTTGTTGAGTTATTAAGTAAGTTGTTGGTCTTCAGGAAGTTGTGAAGTCATCTCATTGTTTTGCTTATGTGATTTCTGACTCTAAGACGTACTGTAATCTATGAAAATGGAGGCCTCCAGGTAGCTCCTTCTACTGTTTGTAGCTACACAATGTACGAGGAACATTGTTCAAATCAGATTCCTTCCTGAACTGTCGCTTTAAACCCCAGGAAACCTGTAAGAAAACTGTGTTCCTGAGCGTTCTCCTTCCCTCTGCCAAAGTCTGAGAAAACAGTTTGCACACATAACTGAGCTAGAACGCTACCTCATCTGTCACGTTTTACTCGCTCTGTGTTTAAGGCCACGTCCAGACACTTCTCACACTGGTCAGATCAGTGTTTTTTTCTTCATTCAAATGTTGCTGGATGTGTAATATAACCTTTTTATGTTTTACACTGTGTTTCCTGAGACTTCAGCTCTGTCGTACTGAGCGTCTCGCTGGTGAATGAGTTTAAACTCATTTAGCACTGCTGCCAGAGGAGTTACAGCATGACTACTCTGAAGAGTAGCTACTCTCTTTACTATCACTGTGTAAAAGATGCACATAGCGTTTTAGCTATATCTACTGTGTTTTTTTTTGTTTTGTTTTGGGTTTTGTTTTGTATCTTTAACGAATAAGAGTGCCGGCTCATTCAGTGTTTTTCATTTCTATTGCTTTTTTTTCTTTTTATTTATACTTTTATCGTGTGGTTTTTAATGGTAATTATTAATATATTCCTTTTCTGCTACTTATTATCTGTTCATTATATTTTGTTTTTATTTTTGATCTTTTTTCTCTTCTTTCTCTGTTTTTACTTTGTATTGTGAAGCCCTTTGAGCTCCATTTTTAATGTATGAAAGGTGCTATTTGAATAAACACTTTTATAATAATAATATTATTATTATTATTATTATTATGCGCTTATTATTGTTTTACCTAATCACAGTAAGACATGACTTATGATTTATAGTCATGTTTGTGTTTTCTTGTTTAAAAATGAGTGAATGAGAAAACGAACAAAATCTTTGCGTTTGTTAGATTACGTTCTTTACATTTCCACAAAGGCAGCAGCGTTTAGAAATCACACTGTTGACAGAGAAGAGTAGATTATATGGCACAAATAGGCACATTACGGTGTCGGTTACTGATCTGTCCTCAGCTATAAATGTCTTCTGATTTTGGTCCTGTATGTTAGAAAGCCGACTGTTCTTGGGTTGTTTTTGGCTGCCGTCCACATCACACTGGAAGTTTTATTTGTTACTGTGATGCCAAAAGAGCGAGAGAGAGAGGAAGGCTGTGTTTTTGTGGTGTAATGCAGGGTAAGGAGGAAATAAGAGAAGGGAACTGTTGGCAGCTTTACAACAATTTTCAGTGTCCAGCTAGACGTTATTTATTTATTTATTGTCTTCTTATTGCTTTTCTTCTGTCAGGACATGCCTTGGTCTCATCTTTGGTATGCGGTTTATGTGTCTTGGAGGCAGTCAGGAAACATACTGTCAGTGCGTTATCGCCTTCATCGCTAAATAAACACGCACTCACTCTTATGGCAGCGAGTCCGCAGGGAAATGAGTCATGAAGTGTGGCTCTGAGTTGCTGTAGAAGTTCTGACCCCTTCAAATTCAGTGTACTGCGTGTTCAGCCAGATATTAATAGTTTTGCGCTGGAACTGGGAGGCTAATGTAGCTCAAGAGTAATGGAAACTTATACCATAAGCTTATACATCATATAAACAGACATGCATATTAGGTTATTATACGTTAATATGCTACATAATTCAATCACTGAGATATCAGCAGAGTCATCCAGAGTGGTTTGATGTGAAATGGTTAATTGTAGAGAAACTTACTGACTCAGATTTCTTTACAGTGGTGGTGATGGGAACCAGGTGTCACAGTGTCTATAACGCAAAAATATACTTTTTATTTACTGTCCAAAACCACCAGTGAACCTACACATGTCTTCGGAGCTTTATATGTAACGCTGATGATGGTAAAATAGTGGAAAAGCTGAAAAAATAAATGTTCTTTGAGGACCTTTTTAACTTATAATGATCTGCATATATCCCACCACCATGAATGTATTTTTAAAAACAAAATTTTAATGTAAATATTATCTCAAAACTCTTGTAAAACAATCAGCCAGTGTATCCATAATCATTTTATATGGTATCTTTCTGTGAGGGAGCTTTTAGAGGCATTAAACTCTTTAGATGTCTGGTTCCTATCACCACCACTGTGAGCAATTCTGGCTCTGTTACCATTTTAAGAATTTTGTCTTTTAAGTAATCTCAGAAGTATTTGCTTTTGTGGTTTCTAACGCTGTTTGACAAACTGTATGACAGCTGAGGCAACAGACTTCAGGAGGGCTGCTGCTGTTTTTACATTATACAACATACTTCTGAGACTTTCTTTGTTGTAGAATTTTGCCATGTTTCTATGAAATATCCATAACTTTAACCATAAAAGACACTCGAGCCAAAATGACAAACGTAACCACCGCTACACTGCTGTGAACATGCCTGCTCCCCTCCTACAGCAGTTGTGCAGGAGCCTCTAAAGCAAGGTTTCCTGGGTCAAAGACAAGGAAAGCCCCCTTCTGATGATGCATCTTGAAAGTGGAAGTACTTTTTGAAAGACTACACATGCTTTGGGTGGATGCTTGGAGACTGTTTAATTTTTTATTTTTTTTTTCCCACAAGCTGGCTGAATTATTACTATGGGTGGATGGATTATTGGATGGATTGTTGGATGGATGGACAGATGGATCATTGGATGGATGGATGGATGGATGGATGGATGGGTGGATGGATTATTGAATGGATTGTTGGATGGATGGACAGATGGATCATTGGATGGATGGATGGATGGATGGATGGATGGATGGGTTGATAGATCATTGGATGGATGGGTGTGTTGTTGGATGGATAGATCGTTTGATGGATAGATGGTTGGATAGATTGTTGGATGGATGGATGGATCGTTGAATGGTTGGATTGTTGGATGGATGGATGGATCGTTGAATGGTTGGATTGTTGGATGGATGGATGGATGGATAGATTGTTGGATGGATGGATGGGTTGTTGGATGGATAGATAAATTGTTTGTTGGATGGATGGATGGGTTGTTGGATGGATAGATGGATGGATCGTTGGATGGATGGCTGGATGGATTGCTGGATGGCTGCATGGATTGCTGGATGGCTGGATGGATCGTTGGACGGATGGATGGACAGATTTCTATTTGCATATTTATGTAGCATATAAGACTTTTTTTGTATTTACATGAGAGCAGGTATTGCAGTAAGTGGTATGAGGTAGTTTAAAGCACAATGAGTGTAAACTTAACTATGATTAGCAGCAGTATTTACAGTCTAAAGTGTGCAGTGAGTTTCGTTACAGTAGCAGGTTATTATATATTGCACAGTGTGTATCAGCAAGAGAGGTGATACAATGATGTGATTCAGGACAGTTCAGACAGCAGAAGGTCAGTTTCACTAACACAAGCTGGCACTACAAACGTGTTTATTAGCCTCTCGATCAGTGGCTAGCAGTGAGGAATTGTTAAGAACAATAGGGATTCCCAGTGTTTATGTGATGTTTTTACATAATGCATGCTGGGTATTGTAGTCAGAGCATATTGGGCTCACATACGAAAATGATACAATTCTCTCCAACTGGTGAGGCTGAGGGATGCAGTGCTGCACTACAGAATAGTACATAGCATAACAAATGAAATGCTAGTTTTAAGCCAGTGTACCCCTTTAATCTCTTTCATTAACCCCACCCATTTCGCTCTCCTCACAGATCATGATCGAGTTTTGTCCAGGAGGAGCCGTGGACGCCAACATGCTAGGTAAACCCCTCTCTATTTTCTCTTCAAAAGCTGCTTAATGTTTTTATTTCTTCACTTTTATTGAGCCTCACCATCTCTCCTTTTGGTTCTCATGACTGGTGGTAACCTGCTCATGAGCTCCTGGACAGGATATTGCTTTTTTTTCCCTTTTTCCCACAGATTTGATGAAAGTGTGACCTCATTTGCCCTGGGATCGGTTTTGTTTTTTGAGCTTGGGGTAAAAAACCCTGCAGTAATTTTTAGTAAAGCTGCCAGTTCTGTTATCTTAAACGCTGCTTCGTCCAACAGCTACTGAATCCCTGCTGATATGAGCTTTTTAATATAATGCTAACTGCAACATTGACTTTAATGATTGGTAACGTTAGCATTTATGAAAAGCCATATCATGGAAAAGCAAATGTTCCTTAGTTTTTTATTAATTAGACATAGTTTTAAAGTTTTAAAATAGACAGTTCACTTTCAGTCCATTCTGTCCATGTACAGAAATTAAGCTGCAAGGAACAGTCCATTTTAAATCTGGTTTTCTGATGTCACCATCACATTTACATATGTCCGCCTATAGACGACCGTCAATCTGTGTTCCGCTTTATGCCCATATTCGGAACTCCGGGTCTAAACTCCATTTCTCTATGGACAGAATGAATAGGGTTATGGAACAGTTGCCTCTGTCGCACCCTGCGTTCAATAAAAATGTTCAGAACCTGAAACGTTTTGACCTGTGAACACTTTTCCCACGAAAATCACTGGATCCTCCCAGTTACACGGTCGTTAAAGACCTATAATACCACTATTGCCAAATGTGACCTAAACCTACTGCACATCAATTTGTTGTCACTAAGCTACACGAAACTAAGGTGGGCTGTGCTGGTGCTCTGACAAGTCGTGCTAACTTAACAAAATGTTCTACCGTAGTGCATATTTACAGGTATACCTGTAAATAAAACCTCTAGGTAGGATATTTTGATAGATTAAAACTCTATATCAAAAAATACTATCAGTGTTAAAACTACGAAGCTGAATTTAGCTTCTTTTTCGCCTGCTTGGACAAAGCAATACTGACCTGTTGTTTCTGTGAAACAGCAAAAATAAGTTAATGTTACTCAGCTGTCAAGCGGAAATAGAGAAACCTCCTCATTTCACGCCTTTCAACTCTCCATGAAGCTGAGGTCAGCTTCTTTTTCGCTGGCTGTTTGCTCGAATCTTCCCGTTCCACCTTAAATGGTGCAGCAGTCACATTCTGAACTGCTGCGCCATTTAAGGTAGAACGAGAAAATGCGAATAAGCTTACAAATGTCCTGAGAAAATGTCCTCAGAAAATGTTACCAGCATTAAAATAATAATTAAGATAATTTGACGGCCTAAATTAGCTGATCAGGGGTGAGCAGTGATATTAAGCTGAGTCTGTACTGAATTAGAGTGCAAGTTTGTAGAGCTTTTTAAATCAAGCTGTGTACAGAAGGGAGAGATCTGTCATGTTCTGTTGTTTGAGTATCAGATGAAGAACAGAGAAATGCAGGGAAACCTGCTTCTTTTGTTCTGACTTCTCTTCATCTGCCCTCAGTCTGTACATGGAAATACACCATCACACTTGGTTTTTAAGGAGGCTGCCAGTCTAATGACGTCGTTCAGTGCGCAGTAGCTTTAGCTCACATGTAGCAATATTCATATTTGACTTTTTAACGACCTCGTAATTCAGAGGATCCAATGATATCCGAGTGAAGAATGTTCACAGGACAAAACGTATCGGGTTCTGAACATTTTTATTTAACACTGGGTGAGATTGATGCGAAAACCATATTCTGGCCACAGAGAAATGAAGCTTAGACCTGGAGTTCCTAATATGGGCATAAGAGCATAGCGGCCACTACAAAATGACGACACCACCACAGCGGTCTATTAAGCCTGCATCAGTTTAGCCCCGCCCATTCTGATTGGTTATAAGTTTGAGCCTGGACTGGCTTTTGAATGAGGGCAGCCAATTAGAACAGAGCTTATTTACATACAGGATATCAGTCTTAAAGGTACAGTAACAAAAACAGCCTGGTTAATTCCAAAGGATAAGGAGCTGTTGGAAAATGGTCATGTAAAAATTAATTATGACCACACTAATGTCATAAATGGACCCCAGTTGAAAAAATAAGACAAACAAGATGTAGAAGAAGGGGTATTTATGGGTTAAGGGCCCTAAGGGTGGTATACCTCAACCCTTAAATGCATATTTTTGGGCACTACTGACCTGTCACCTTTTTTTCCTTCTCTGCCCCGTTATTTTTTACTCTCAGTTTGGCTCTGCCTCGCTAGTATTTCTTTACTTTTTTGTGTGTGTGTGTTTGGATTTTTACCCAATTATCTCCCCAATTTAGTCGTTTCCAATTCCACCCACTAATCACACGATACCATCAACACTAGGAGGGCGAAGGCTAACACAGGCTTCCTCTGAGACCTGTGAAGCTCCACCGCATCTTTTCGAACTGCCGCTCACGCAATGTCATTGGACAGCTGAACGCGCTCGGAGGAAAGCGCCAACCGCCAGATCTGTTACGTCAGCTAACAGACGCCTGTGCTGACTAGCATCGCGTTGGGTGATGGGGGGAGAGGGGAGGGCCATCCTACCCACCCAGAGAGAGCGAGGCCAATTGTGCTCTCTTGGACTCCCGGCTACAGACGACTGTAGCGTCACCAGGGATCAAACTCGCGATCTCCTGATAATAGGGCCAACGCTTAGACGGTTGCGCCACTCGGGAGCCCTTTTTTAGTTTTGAACCATGTATCATAAACAGAATGCCACAGTTCTAATTGGTTGTTTTTGTGTAAAAACTCTATAACAGTATATAAAATATCAAAATATAACTACATATATATACACATACATATATTTTCATTAATGTCAGTAAAATGTTTTGACTGTTTTTCACTATCATGGGAAAACTACCGTATATCTAACACAAGCTCTAGCTCAGTCTGTGTTAGATTTAGATGTCAGGTGCTGCCCCACCCCCCAGCAGTTAAGGGTTAAAGATCCTTTAGGTTCAGTGTAAACACTGTGGGTGGTTTGAACAATCCAGCTTGGTGGAATAAGCTCCCTCGCTGACTCTTTGCGACCCTTTTGGTGACCCTGGGTTCGCCGTTCTGTTTTTCTCTCAGAGTTGGACAGAGGTTTGACGGAGAAGCAGATCCAGGTGGTCTGCAGGCAGATGTTGGAGGCTCTGGTCTATCTGCACGGCAAGAAGATCATCCACAGAGATCTAAAGGCAGGAAACATCCTCCTCACGCTGGACGGAGACATCAAGCTAGGTGTGTATGTGTAACTGGGAGGAAGATTGTGAGGTTTTTGCATAACTGGGTCATAACTGAATTTCGTTTTCAGAGAGGAGTATTTATTAACAGCATTCATTAAAAGGCTTCAAATTGCTGCTACTGTTTGCAGCGTATTTTTGTCCTGTTATTATTTTGATGATCAACGTGTAAACGTTTCTTACACAGAATGTTTTGGCCTTCGTATATGGTTTATGATTATTGTTACGTGACATTTCCTATAAATGCCCATTCATTAGTTTGTTCCAAGTAGGGGTGAGCAATATGGCAATATTTTATCATTATTACGTCACAATATGCTTTTCTGAACATATGGTGGACATCATCGGTACTTAAACACTAAAAAAACTGCATATTTTATTACAAAGAGAGCATAATAAGACGTATAATTGGATTTAGTGCAGTGCAATGTGTGAAATCTTGAATAAAAATAATCGTAGTCATTTTTTTTTTCTAATACTTTTGTCTGTTCCAACTTATTAAACTCAGTTCAATAAATAATATTATAAAACAGATAGTTTTGCTCCTAAAATCTGATTCGAAGCCGTTCCACGATATACACACATCTCTGACTGCCTTACAACAACTGAATTGTATATTACTGTGCAACGGCACAAAAAAACCTTTGTGCTGTTAATGGAATAATCTTTGACTCTCATGCTGCTCACATGGACAACTGAGTATATTGATGAAGTAAGAACCTGTTTTGTGTTCAAACTGAGGGGCTGACAACTTATGTTCTTAACTAGAACTAGGCTGGTCAGCTAGGTAACAGGCTAAAAGAGCCAACAGCCTAAATACCTCCATCATTAATATCACAGGCTTGAATTGAAGTACTTAGTACTTTAAATTCCTACGTAGTGCACTATATTACGTCGATTTTTGCATTTGAGACCTAAACATTGAGCTGGACCTTCTTTCGGAGCCTGTGCGTGTGATGTTATGTGCGTGTGGTCTGAAAAACTCCTGCAAAACGTGACCTGAAGCCTCTGACAAAATGATTATTTCAGGCTTTACAGGAAAACTTGCATGCGCCATATTTCAGCATGTTTTTTGTCCTGACTCAGTAATGCTGTTTCTTTCCATTTTAGCAAAAGAATCTTACATGTGGCTTCAAGGCCAGCTTTATCAAAGCAGCCACTGGACTCTTACTTTATGAAGTAAGAGGAAGAAGATACGGTTACAGCCCAGCATGGCTGCATTGTGTGTCCAGTAATGGCTTTCTGAAATGTCAAGCCAAGAGGAACAGAACTTAGTTCTGTTCCCCGTTACATCACTCAGAATGCCTCATCGCTTTTCAGCCGTTACACAACTCAAAACAGCCAAATGACTCACTTCTTTGCAGTGACGCCTTTTTGCAGAAGGAAAGAGCTGCTCCTATAGTTTTTAGTTAGTCAACGTATTATTGCTATAAAGACAAAATTAGGGACAAAATTGAGGCTTTAAGATTGTTTGAGGCGAATGAGTGATGAATTAGGCCTGCAGTTCAGATGATGCTAATTGGTGGGGTGTAAGCCTCTGTTACTTGTTAGCTACATTAGGCTTGTAGCTCCAACTACAGAAGCACACCTCACCAAACATGTCCTGGATGATCGACTGCATTTGGGGTAAGGAGGAAAATGTGTAAACCCCATATGTCAAACCCAAGGCCAGATCAGACCCATGGCACAATCTTATTCGGTCCTCGAAATTATTCAGTTTTTCTATTAATATTAGCCTGTTTCACAATGAGCTGCACTACAATCCCCAGCATGCACTTCAACATAATTTGTGCTGACACCCCCTCCCCCAGTAACAATCTATGGGACAGCAGTTTTCTACCCAGTTCCACACGTCATATCAAATCAAATCAAATCAAATTTATTTGTATAGCGCTTTTTACAACTGATGTTGTCACAAAGCAGCTTCACAGAAATCCGTTTAGAACAAAGTTTCAACATGAAATGTAAATCCTCCAGGTGAGCAAGCCAGGGGCGACAGTGGCAAGGAAAAACTCCCTCAGTTGAGGAAGAAACCTTGGGAGGAACCAAGGCTCACATATCACCAAACACACCAGCTGCAGTTCAACCAACATGAACACTGTAAACATTATAAACGCTATAAACATTATAAACACTATAAACACTCAGCAGCTCAGGAACAGGTCCCAAAAATTAATGAAGTTGCAGCAGAAAAGATGTCAGGTGTGTAGATAAAGCACACAGGTAGGTTTAAAAGACCTACATTCTGGGGACGTTTAAAGAGATTTAACAGTTATCTGTATCTAATGTAGCCTAAATATATCAAGAATTCACATGTAATATTTAAAGGTTTATTACAAGTGGCTACATTTTGCTGTTGCTGTTTTGGTGTATTATAATATAAACGCTCTCTGACCCTCGAATTTGTTGAGATTATTTAATATGGCCCCTTTAGTGGTTGAGTTTGACACCCCTGGTGTAAACTGTCACTGTGTGAAGGGCCTATATCACGGAAAACTGTATTTTCCTCACTTTGTTTGAAATAAGAGTTTGATGTAGTGTGTAAACGTAGTTTTAAACATGTCTCTCTCCAGTCCATACAGTCCATATGTGGAAACAAAGCTGCAGAAGCAGCTCCTTCTGGATTAGCCATTTCTGTGAAGTCACAAAACACCAACGCTTTTAAATATATAACCACCTATTCAGTCTACAGACGTTTAGCCCTACCCACTAAAGCTAAAACTATAAGGCTGCTTTTTAAATAAAGCAGCCAGTCAGAGCAGAGGTTGTTTACATATCAGTCTTAAAGGCACAGAAACAAAAACAGCCTTTTTAATTCTAAGCGATAAAGAGAGGTTGGAAACCGGTCAGGCAAAAAAGAATTATGACTGGTTTTGATATATAATATGGGCCCTTTAAGGTGTCTGAATTGTTGTAAATGATTCTATATGAGGCATACTTCCTCTGTGAGGCTTTAGCATCTGTCTGTATTATATTTTGGTCTATTTCTTTAATATATTTCATTCCTTTTTTGAATTTTTACTTTTTGCTGACTAAAATCTGCCATTTGCCTTTTTGTAAATTGACTCTGGTGTCAGTTTACCTCCTTGTTTGTTGTGTTATTGCCTAAAGTTTCCTTCTGTGAAAAATGCCACTGTAATTGTTGTGGAAGTGTCACCAAGCCTTAGTCTTAATTTGTCTCTGCTTATCATCACAGCGGATTTTGGCGTGTCTGCGAAAAACACCAAAACTCTACAAAGAAGAGACTCTTTCATTGGGACTCCGTATTGGTAAGTGCACTCACCCACCCACATGGCTAGTTCTGAGCATTAACAGTGGTTTCTGTGATGGACAGTAAATGAGAGATGCTTGGAGGAGACTGAGGGCCGATGTTTCCATCAGAAAAGAGATGATTTTACATACACTGTGTGTTCAAAAGTACCCAGAGAGACCGTTTAATGGGTAAATTCAGTTACTTTGTCATCTGTTGCTGACACGGGCATTCAGTTGCACATGCACAGCTTGTATAGTCTCCATAGAAAAGCATTGACCAATAGAATGGGACGCTCTGAAGCAGCTGCACACATGACCAATGCCAAATGTCGACTAGAGGGGTATAAACCCCCCCCAGCATTGGGCTGTGGAGCAGTGGAACTGTGCTCTCTGGAGTGATGGAGCTCCATCCAGTACCTTTGGGATGAGCTGGAGTGACCCAGAACTGATCATCCAACATCAGTACCTGACCTCACTAATGCTCTTGTGGCTGAATGCAATCAGATCCTCACAGCAATGTTCCAGCATCTAGTGTAAAGCCTCCCCAGATGAGTAGAGGCTGTTACTGCAGCAAAGGGGAACAAACTCCCTTGATTTCTGAAGAAACGCTGGATAAGCAGGTGTCTACAAACTTTTGGACATATAGTGCTGGTTTCCCAGACAGGGATTAAGCCTAGTCTTGGACTGAATTGCAGTGCCAACAGTGAGTCACCACTGGAAATAATTTTTAGTCTAGAATTAGACTTAACCTAGGCTAATTACACAGTAAGAGAAACAGCCTGTTTAATTGTTAGGGATAAAGAGAGGCTGGAAAATGGTCATGTAAAAATAAATTGTGACTGTTTTTAGGACATAAAACCACACAAACACGCAGAAAATGGCCCCTTTAATAGCTCCGTACAGGCTGGACGCTAACCGTAGAGGTGTTCGTTTGTCAGTCAAAGATCAAATTCAGACTCTCCCATGGCTGTCAGTGCAGAATTCGCTCACTGAACTCCAGACATACTCATATCTTCTCATTTCTCTGATAATGATTGACTTGAGATCTCGTAAAAAGCCACGTGGCTCAGGGCCTGAACTCCCATCCGCTGTGCCGACACTGCCGCCTGATATACTGCAGCTGTGAAGGCCTTAATCTGCCTATTTAAATAACGAAAACTCTCATAGAAGTAAAGCATGATATGACACGCCTTCCAAGACTGCAGTTAAAGCAGTACTTTGGGTTAAAAAAAATAAATAAATAAATGTGGGTTCTGACACTGTATGACAAACTGTTATCTATAAACATGGACAAAAACATGTTTCGTAGCTAAAAACAATAGAAGCTGCATATTGAAGGCTCAATTTTGTCCATACCTTTGTTTATTTTCATAGATATCAGTATGTCCTACTGTGTCCAACACATAAACATGTCTGTTTGGGGACACTTAAAGGGGAATTTCACTGATTTTTGAAAATTTCAGCCTAGTTCAGTTGCTGAGGTGCAGATTCATTCAGAGTGGGTTTTAAAAAAAATGGTTCATTGTAGAGAAACTCACCAACTCAGACTGGTAGTGATGGGAACCAGGGGTCGTGATGTCTGTAACACAAATGTAACCATTTTATTTGCTATACAAAATGACCACTGAACCTACTTGAGTTTTTATATGTAACGTTGTTGTTAAAATGGTGAAAAACTACAACACCCTGTATGCCTCTCTGCCATGAATGAATTTGAAAAGACCAAAACTTGATTTCAGAACCGTGTCTCAGATGTCAGGCAGCACATTCATAACTATTTTGTGTAATAACTGTCTGTGCTGTAGCTTTTAAAGGGCAGTAAACTCTTCAGATGTCTGGTTCCTATTACCACCACTGTGAACAATTCTGACTCGGTCAGTGTCTCGGTCAGTAGAAAAGAAGATTTCACATCAGACCACTCTGAATGACTTTGTTTATATTTGAATGATGTAATTAGGCAGAAATTTTTAAAAATTAGTGCAATTCCCCTTTAATTGAAAATAGTTTGAGCCAAGTGTGTTTAGGAACACAGTTTGCACAGCGCTAATTGGTGGGATATACACCAATCAGGCATAACATTATGACCACCTCCTTGTTTCTACGCTCATTGTCCATTTTATCAGCTCCACTTACTATATAGGTGCACTTTGTAGTTCTAGAAAACACAGTTTGCACAGCGGAACAGTAGGAACACAGTTTGCACAGCGCTAATTGGTGGGATATACACCAATCAGGCATAACATTATGACCACCTCCTTGTTTCTACGCTCATTGTCCATTTTATCAGCTCCACTTACTATATAGGTGCACTTTGTAGTTCTACTGTTACAGACTGTAGTCCATCTGTTTCTCTGCATACTTTGTTAGCCCCCTTTTACCCTGTTCTTCAGTGGTCAGGACCCCCATGGACCCTAACAGAGCAGGTACTGTTTGGGTGGTGGATCATTCTCAGCACTGCAGTAACACTGACGTGGTGGTGGTGTGTTAGTGTGTGTTGCGCTGGACTGAGTGGATCAGACACAGCAGTGCTGCTTGAGTTTTTAAATACTGTGTCCACTCACTGTCCACTCTATTAGACACTCCTACCTCGTCAGTCCACCTTGTAGATGTAAAGTCAGAGACGATAGCTCATCTGCTGCTGCACATTTTGTGTTGGTCATCCTCTAGTCCTTCATCAGTGGTCACAGGACGCTGCCCACAGGACGCTGTTGGCTGCATATTTTTGGTTGCTGGACTGCTGGACTGAGGTGTTTAAAAACTCCAGCAGCACTGCTGTGTCTGATCCACTTGTACCAGGACAACACACACTAACACACCACCACCATGCCAGTGTCACTGCAGTGCTGAGAATGATCCACCACCCAAATAGTACCTGCTCTGTGAGGGTCCATGGGGGTCCTGACCACTGAAGAACAGGGTAAAAGGGGGCTAACAAAGTATGCAGAGAAACAGATGGACTACAGTCTGTAACTGTAGAACTACAAAGTGCACCTATATAGTAAGTGGAGCTGATAAAATGGACAATGAGCGTAGAAACAAGGAGGTGGTCGTAATGTTACGCCTGATCGGTTTACGCTTCTGTTCTAGCCTCATAGCTTCAGTCACCAGACATTTGGAATAAGATAAACAGATAAAGAGCTTACAGGCCCATTGCTGTTCTTTATCTGATTGAATTAGTTGCGTTATTTGAGCTGTCATCCTGTTCATTTGTTGAAGTGACTCAGTGAGTCAGTATCTGTGTCCATGTCTGAGTGGAGAATGTGTCCACGTGTCCTTGAATCTTCCTGTGCTTCTGAATATTCAAGTGTAATCATTGACCAGTGGTTCTTGCATAATCCTATCTGGAATTCCTCTACTGGTCCAAAGAGCTTTCTCACCTTTGGACCAGTGAATAATGGATCGGATTGAAAGGAGCACAGCTTGTATGGAGGATAAAACAGAGACTGAAATGACTTCAAATATTAAATCTTCTGCTTAAAGAGCTTAAAACCTGTAATCAGCATAAAAAGTATTTGCCCCCTCCTGATTTCTTCTATTTTTACAGATTTGTCACACAGTTTTTAAATCATTTCAAAGTTTTGTAACCCCTATATCGCCCGTGTGAAAAAGTAATTGCCCCCTAAACTTATAACTGGAGATCAGTCTTTCGCATCACGGTGGAGGAATGTTGGCCCGAATTGCTTTGCAGAATTGCTTTTATTCGGCCACATTGGAGGGTTTTTGAGCTTGAAGTCCTGCCACAGCATCCCAGTGCCCTTTTGGCTTTTTTTCAGCGATTCAGAGATGGACTTGCTCATGCTTAGGATTGTTATCTTGCTGCATAACCCAGATGCCAGACCTTTTAGCCTACTTCACATTGAGTGCATTTACATGCACTTAATAATCTGATAACTGCAAAAAATCTTATTTTGTCAGTAATCCAGTCAGTGCATTTACATGCACTTGAGCAATCAGATAATGGGGAAACTCCAGGTCTACATGAGCCAGACAGTAATCAGATTTCAGCTTTACAATCAGCCAGTAAACTCACAGAAGAAGACATGACGTAAACGTTTTCATCAAGCCACTTTACCTAAAATATGAATATACATCATCTAGAAGATGAAGAATATTTAAATCCTTCATTTTGTTAAGCATGTATTTGGTTTCAGCGTCGCTCCAAAAGCGTTTTGCTGCGTCTCGCGGCAACACTGCTTATTTCCGGTACCGCAGTCTGTTTTGCACATGCGCAGACTGAGAATTGCGAAAGAAATCAGAGTAAGAGTTCACATGCACTGAGAAATCTGATTACTGAGCTAAAATCCATCCTCTCTATTGGATTTCTAGACCTTTCTCCGATCTAAGAAATCAGAGTGTGCTGTTTACATGACCTTTTGAATAATCAGATAAGTGCAGAAATCCGATTATGATCGGATAATTAAGTGCATGTAAACGCACTCATTTCTGGAAAGGTTCTGTTTAAGTGATTAAGTGTGATGGTGTTTAATAACTTGTTTAATAAATAAAAACGATCATTTAAAAGCTATTTTGTTCACCTCAGAGATGCTCTTTCAGTGATTTATCGTAATCCCTGGTGACCAGCCCCGTAGCTGGTGTTCTAGTCATTTTACAAGGTTTTATTTGGCATCTTTTCAAACGTATTTAGTGTCTGAAGTTCGCTTCTTTAGTTTTTGCTCTGCAGCTACGAGGCTAATGTAGCTAACAAGTCATGAAGGCTCAACTAATGATACCCCACCAATTAGCATCATGCAGACTCTGCTTGTAACCTCTAATAGACTTGCTCATATGGTTTCTGACACTGTATGACACACTGTTATCTATAAAACTGGACAGAAGTATTTTTGTGCCTGTCTCTGCAGGATGGCTCCTGAAGTCGTCATGTGTGAGACCATAAAAGATGCTCCGTATGACTATACCGCGGATATCTGGTCACTGGGGATCACGCTGATTGAGCTGGCGCAGATGGAGCCCCCCCACCACGAGCTCAACCCAATGAGGGTCCTGCTGAAAATTGCCAAGTCCGACCCACCCACACTGGAACAGCCTTCTAAGTGGTAAGCCACCTAACCTCCAGGGCTCTAAGACCCCGCTGTGTTTGACACGACAGTTCGCTCTTTGGAGCAATGAAGAAGAACCAATTTCACTGGTTGCTTCTTTTAAAGAAATATTTTTGTGAATGAGATGCACCTGTTTAACGTTTAAAAATCATTTAAAAATTCTATACCAATTAAATGTTTTCCCCAGAACTGTACATCCAAGCCAAGGAGCCTTTATTTTTAGAAGTGTATCTGCGCTCCATTGTGGTTAGCCTTGCATTGCTAGCTTGGCTTCAAAAATCATATTGTGACAGGTGAAAACATCTTATGTTTACTCAATATATCTCATTTCTTACTTCAAGGTTATTGTTAGAATAAGTTTATTCTATGTGCTTATAGAGGTTTTTAATTATACCTCATTAAAAATGGTATTTTTAAGGCATTTTATCTGGAGAAAGTGTCACTTGGCAGATATATTTACTTGTTTCAAGCATTATTTCTTAAATTAAGTAAAATGATCTGCCAATAGAATAAAACACTTTCCCTACATAGAATTTTAAAGTTGTTGTTCCATCCTTGCACAATGTTGCTTCTAGGCAACAAACATATTTCAGACATATAAAAAAAAAAAAAAGGTTTGAAATAAGAGAGAGCCCAACAAGCGAGAGAGTGGAAAAGTACACACGTTTTATTAGTTTATTCAAGCTCAAAATCACGTCATTGTGAAGTGAAGACAATGAGTTTGTTAACCTGAGGCAACATTGTGCAATAGAGGTTTAAGCAACCCCTGATCAGTGTTAAAACCCAACTCTTCTGTTTCTAGTGTCGCTTTTAAGTATTGAAAACGTCAGTTTGAATGTAAGAAGCAATGAAAGTGGAACCTTTGCTTGTGTAAGAGTTTGCCATGCTGGCAAAACACTTGTCCTGAATATTTGTGTCTGCTTTTAATCCTAAGTGTTTCTTTTTATAAGAACTCGGGGGCTTTACCTGCTCTTTTCGGCTAATGTGCCAACACTGTGTGTGTTTAAGGTCGATGGACTTTAAGGATTTCCTAAGAAAATGTTTGGATAAGAATCCTGAGACTCGTCCGACGGCCGCGCAGCTTCTGGAGGTGAGCGAGAGGGTTTATGTATGACGCCTTTCAGCCTTTAATACAGCTTTAATCCATTAAAGTGTTTGAATGTAATGGTCAGTCACGTCCACATTCCAGCTCTAACTAGCTGATAAAGCTAGTAGCAGAAATGTGAATAAACAGGAGTCTGCTCGAGACGGGCAGTCACTGCTTCCTGTTTGGGTTGGAGGACGGAAGGAATGATGGTAATTTGCATTCTTTCTTCCTTTGGGGATCTTTACCGACTCCGCCTCTGGACCTCGAGCTGCGCTTCATGTGGAGATTCATACATGGACAGAGCCTGATGAACCCAGTGACCTTTACGTGCCAGGCTTTAGTGCTTGGGCCTTAACATTTAAAGTGATATTCTGATGAAAAGTTTAATTTAGACAGTATTTTTCTTAGAATATACCAACCAATCAGGTGCCTCTGTGGTTGGTTGGCTATTTTCGTTCACCTCCGAGTGTAGCTGAAGTGTGAAAATGTGTTGGAGAAGACTTGAATTGACTGTCGTCCTCCTACTGTAATGATACTGTGGTGCCATAGGAACACAGAAGAACTGGCCAGAGACAAATTAGAAGAAAACAAAAATAAGTGAATTAATTTAGAGAAGTTTAGGGCACATAATCATTTCTCATCATAGATGAGGATGAGTTCAGTTCAGTTTGCTTGCAGTTACACCGATCAGGCATAACATTATGACCACCTCCTTGTTTCTACGCTCATTGTCCATTTTATCAGCTCCACTTACTATATAGGTGCACTTTGTAGTTCTACTCCAGCAGCACTGCTGTGTCTGATCCACTCGTATCAGCACAACACACACTAACACACCACCACCACCACGTCAGTGTTACTGCAGTGCTGAGAATGATCCACCACCCAAATAGTACCTGCTCTGTGAGGGTCCATGGGGGTCCTGACCACTGAAGAACAGGGTAAAAGGGGGCTAACAAAGTATGCAGAGAAACAGATGGACCACAGTCTGTAACTGTAGAACTACAAAGTGCACCTATATAGTAAGTGGAGCTGATAAAATGGACAATGAGCGTAGAAACAAGGAGGTGGTCATGATGTTATGCCTGATCGGAGTATTTCCATATTTAAAATGTCATTTTGCCCCCTTGGAGTTATAAGGTTCTATCTGTGCTTTGAGCAGTTTTGAGATATTGAGCCTCAAAGATTTTGGATTCCAAATAGCAGAACTGATATGTGGAAAACATCTCTTTCATACATGACATTGACAGACACCCTGAATGTATTCTAAAAGTATATCAGAATCCTATTGTAATTTGGAACAGGTCAAATGCAGACAGAACCTTCTTATCCTAAGAACTCACTTTCTGCTTGGAATTATAAGGTTCTATCTGGCAAAATATGAAAAGAAGCAACGAATTTCAAGAAACTCAAACAGCAATTTGTTTTAAAACATAAAATTAGTGTCTGTGTATTAAAGTTAAATGTAACACTTTCTATGACATTTTTGTGGCATTTATTTTTATTATTTGTTAATTTTTATAACGTTTTATTTCTCATTTTAGGATAAATCATCTTTTTCTTATTCAAAAAAGCATATCAGATTAAGTATGAAGGTCAGTGCTAAATGTTTTGTCCAGTGCAGAGGTCAGTTTTAGGTAGGAGCCATTAGTTTAAGTTTCCTTTAGATTAGACAGCAACCAGCTGCTGTAATAAACTGTCCCAGCAGCTGCATGTGGCAGGTCACTGTAAAGTCAGTGTGAGGTTTTGTTGTATATCAGAAATTTGACTCTAATCCAAAATGTCTTTCTTTGGCAGAAAGAAGAAAAAGAAAAGATGGATGAAAATTAATGTTTATGTTGTAATTAAGACCCTATCAATTCAGACGTTCACTATTTAATTACCTTTAAGGCTTAATATTTATAAAATCTAAGACAATGAGTTTTTAAAATGAGTTTTAACTGCAGGAAGACAGGCAGAGTTCCAGCAACATGTTTTCATTCATATTCATTCATTCATTAAGTTATATAAACTTTTCCTGCAGTCACTGAGCAGTGCAGCCACATGACAGAAGCATGTGGCACCTGATCAGCACCTGATTGGTCCTCTTATGTGTATTCGAAGTGCTGATTGGCTCGCAGATAGAACCTCAGAACTAATTTAGGGTTTGACTTTGGAGATTTTTTGTTTTCTAGATAAAAAAAAAATCCAAAAATGCACAGAACTACAAATAAATCACCTCATATAATGTTAAGAAGTTGTCACAGAATAAGAATAATGTGAAAAACTCAATTTTGACAATGTCAGATTAGAATTATAATTCAGAGGGGACAATGTATTAATGTGATTTGGAGCTGGATGTGCTTGTGTGGCAGATGTGTTTTCAGTAGCTTTGTATTTTAGAAAAAAAAAAAGTGTTTGCAGATGCCAAATATGATTATGTAAACTTCAGGAATAATTCACAAAAGAATATCTGACACTCGTTGAAAGCGATAGACACAAGTCTTATACCTACAGTGTGCAGACGTCTACCATCTGTTAACCTGCCCCTGAGTTGTTTGACCCCAGTCTGTCTATCAAAACCTCCACCTTTACAGCAGCACATGCAGAACACCTGCTCTACGTTCTGCTCTTTCATGGCTCAGTACACACAGTCCATCCTGACCAGCATGCCAGCCTCAGGGTGGTGGAGCCTTAAAGTGGTAGTTTGACCAAAAATTAAACGCTTTATCACAAAAATATTCAATGAAGCGAGATATTTTTGGCTCTTTAGTTTTGCTATTTCTGTAACAAGTGATTCAAGCTGATCTAGGCCAGTTAGCTTCACATAAACTGCATGACTTAATCAACAGCTATGTTGAGTTGGTCTGTGGTTTCTTATCTATAAAACCTGACAAAAGTACATCACATAGCTAAAAACAGCAGCAGCAGCTGCCTTCTGTCTGAATATTAAATGCCTTTTGTCCATTTTTATTGATATCATACAACTTTTATGTTGCTTATTAGCTACAGGGATGGATTACTGACTAGGTCAGTACTAACTACTGACTACCTGAGCCTCAGAAGGGTGGAGGTTTCAAACCACATGGCCTACAGCAGCTCATAGACTCAGGAAATTCCACTGCAGATGTACAAATTAGGTGATTGAGTAACTTTTGAATGACTTCATAAAATAAATACATAAATAGATTTTATCATAAACCTTAGTCCATGCGCTGCCCACTGAACTCTGGGCCATCAACAGGTCCAGGAAACACCTTTGCACTTATAAAATACATAACAACACTTTTAGCCCCGTCACAAATAACTTGGCAATAAGTAAAAGTCCCGAACACCACAAAAATGGCAAAAGTGCCGAAATATTACTGTGCAAGAAAATAGGCCAACTTGTTAAATTGTATACTTTAATTGAATATAGTAAACGAAATCAAAATTTGACCGAAAACAAGAAAAGGTGTTTGGTTTGCAGTCAGAGGTTCTGTGTGTCGGTTCTCATTTTTAAGAGCGTAACAGAGTTGATGCTGATAGCCTTTTAGTATGTAGAATAGAACTGATCATGGATCGTAAGTGTTGGAAACTAGGGATGGGCATTTCAAGTAAATTTGAGGTTTGAATTTGTCAGACATTATTTCAGGGTCTTATTCACCAGTTATGGGAAGAGGGATTGTGAGATCGGCCACAGGCTGGGACAGTTAGCAGCAGTAATGTGGTCACTGTACTGGACTGTAGTGGTGAAGGGGGAACTGAGCCATAAGGCAAAGTCTACATCCTGACCCTCACCTGTGGTCATGAGCTGTGGGTAATGACCGAAAGAGTGAGATCACGAATATAAGTGGCAGAAATGAGTTTTCTTCGCAGGGTGGTGGGCTACACTCTGCTTGACAGGGTGAAGAGCTCAGTCATCCGGGAGGAGCTCAGAGTAGAGCCGCGACAGTTGAGGTGGTTTGGGAATCGGCCTACTGAGGTCGTCCTAGGACCCACTGGAGAGATTATATCTCCAAGTTGCCCTGGGCGCGGCTCGGTGTCCCCCAGAAAGAGCTAGAGGAAGTTGCAGGAGACAGGAGCGTCTGGGATTCTCTGCTCTCCCAACTGCTACCACAACCCTATCTGGATTAAGCAGTTAAAGATGATGAGGCATTATTCAAAATATCGTCTAGTTATTAAAAAAAGTGTGTAAAAAAATATTGAAAAAGGGCTACAAGCTACCGGATGCATCAGGAGACAATGACCAGAGAAAGTGACACCACTACTACTTTACTATGCTAAACTCATGCCCAGACCACAATTCCATCGTAGGTGGCTTGAAATATACACCAAGAAATTTATCTAATCTAATGTAAATCTATAGTCTTTAAGAGACTCATGCTAATTGTCTCTTTTCACCTCAGCTAACACTACTAGCTTAATGGCACCATATTTCACCTCAAACATTTTAGTGGAAAAGCAGTTCGGTTGGTGAATAGTTAGTAAGCCAATACCAGACCTGATCAGTTCACTAAACCATGTTGAAAGTTTTATTCTTTTATATCCATACAGGTAGAATGTGAGTTTGAGCTTGATGTTTATTAGCAATTTCCTGTGACACTTCTTATGTGCTATTGCTGCTCTTTGTAGTGTCTGCTTCCCTGCAGCAGAGACCCTCTGACGGCACAGGGCTTCTCTTCCGGTGTGTAGTAGAATTAGCCGACTGCAGTGATCTTTCTAGGCTAGCCCAACTGTCCGTTAAACACAGGCTCTTCCCTTCCCTCTGGAGGAGTATCCGAGGGTTTCAGTCATGTGATTTTTCTGTTGTGGCTGTCATATTTGGGTCAGAATTTCTGGATTCGCTGCTCCGCACATTGTAATTAGAGATGAAAGGTGGCTAAAATTACTCACCTGACTTTGGAAGAGAAACATTGTTACCTCGACAAAGTCAATAAAAAAGGCTGCGATTCTTATACAGTTTCCCTGAACTCCTGGTCCCACTTAAACTGGCAGAAAAGCTACCAAATTTGTGTTTTCCTGACATATTTATCTCATAAACA